GACAGCGTCGCGGAAGAAGCTCAAGGCCCCTGCAGACTCGGACTCCGACAACCGTGACGAGATCGCAGTGCCTTGGTCTGACGATCAGCTGGAGAAGGGTCTTTAACCGGAATGAGATCCAAGTATTTCTGGCCAAGAACCCGGTGATGAATATCCTACAGCTGCGGATGCCTGGGTCGCTGAAAGGACCAGTGATGCCGTCACCAGCGACGACGAGCAAGCTAGACGCTGTGAAGGCTGTATTGCGCCTGCTGAATGACGCCGGCATCATGCCAGGCTCCTTTGCAGCGAAGGATCTGTTCCATCTGGCCTTTGAAGCGATCCAGAGCGGTGGCTGGTGGGGTTCCTTCGGTTTTCACCTTAGGTTCCTCACCGGGCGGATCATGATTCACATCGTGATCCGCGGTGCCCCCTGAGGAAGCATAGGGAGGGGGTTGAGGTTTCTCTTCAAGAAGATCTTCCTCTTCGTTTCTGTCGGCAGAGCCCCTCCCACCGCTCTGCCGCCCTGCTGATCATGCTTCATTCAGCATCGCCGTCGGCGATCCAGCTTCCTCCATCTGGTTATCCACATCCTCGGCGAAGAGTTTCTCCCCTTCGCGGATGCAGACTTGATCATCCTCCAAAGATTGATTCGCGGATGGTAGCTCCGAGGCACTCTCGATCGGCTTCGTCTTAATCAGGCCTTCGGTTTCGTAGCCTTCGGGCAGCTCCTCGGCTGTATTCTCGTCTTCCTTCCCGTCAGACACCTTTGCGATCTGGTTGCTGACTGCCTCGGGGCATCTCAGATTTCTTTTCGGGGGATCGTACTCCGGGTGATCGACCATGGGTCCTGCCGGCTCTCCGATCAGTGCCTCCTCTTCGCTCACCGCGTCCGTGGTTGCTTGCAGCACCAAGTTCTGCCACTCTGCGTACCGATCCGATCCAACGGTGACGAAGCCCTGGCGTCTCGGCATCTCCATGCGTATCATCTTCCGTTCTTCCAGATTGTTTTTAAGGGTGTATTGCCTAGGTTTTCAGGTCTATTCAGGCCCACGGCACTCCATATGCAC